CCATCCAAAGTCAAGCGGATGTGATCGGATGTGATCAATGAATAGATTTTTTTAAATCCTACAGCTTTTGTCTGAAACATTTTTTTCAAAAATGCTTTGCTTTCGAGATATTCAACCGTTTCTAGACTTTTGATGCACCCTATATGTATATATATATATAAATATAGCGACTTAAAATTATGCTTCACCGCTCACTGAGCGTTACATAACCTCACGGCTCAAATACGGCATTAGAAAAATAATAAACAGTAAATAAATAAGTAAGGAATATGATATTAATGATTATCTATAAAGGTGCAGCCACAATAAAAGGAATAAGGAATAACGATTCCAACCTATCAGAAATCGTGTATGCCGGTGTATCCGATATCTGATAGGTTGAAATCTTTATTCCTTATTCTTAATTCCTTATTCCTTCTATTGTGGCTTCACCCTAATAGACATGTTATTCTACATTACGAATTATAATAAATAAACATATTAATCATAGATTAATCCCTTTTTTGCTCAGTGAGCGGTTTTCTCTGCTGAACGCAGCCAATAGGTGCATCCAGAAGCACGACCGTTCATTGAGCTCTTGTACCTGTTTGGTCTACTTTTTTAGCTCTAATGGAATATGCCAATCAGATGCAAGAGCTCATTAAGCGCTCTGCGCTTCTGGATGCACCCAATAATTTATGATGACGCTTGTTACAGTAACAAATTCAACTCATAATAATTTCATTAATATTAAGTAAGAAACTGAAATCATAAGACTAGGTCCACAACCATGCTTTAAGAGGCCATAAGTCGTAAAGCCTTAAGAAATTGACCAATCACAGTTGAATATGAGAAAAATAATCGATTGCGGTTGGTTAATTTCTTACGGCTTTACGGCTTAGTCCGCAAATACAATAGAGTAGTAAGCCTTAAAAAATTGATCAATCACAGTCGAATGTGAGAAAAATAATCGACCATGATTGGTCAATTTCTTAAAACATAAAGCTTGCTACTCTATTATGTTTGCGGACTTACAGCCTCTTAAAGCAAGGTTGTGAACCTAGCCTAACACAATACTAGAGTTCTAGAGTCCACTTGGCGCTATAAATGCTTCGAAGCTTTTGATTGACCAATCGAAAGAATTTTACCAATTGACCAATTAAAAAATGCTTCGAAGCATTTGTAGCATTAAGTGGACCGCACCCCTAGATTTATAAGAAAAGTGTGACCGATTTATGTCAATATCACAAAAGTAATTTTAATGTAAGTATTAAAAATGGCGTCGTTTACAAGACGGATTATAAAATCCATTAAGAAGCCATTTTAATACACAGAAATTAGTTCATGATTAGCTACTAATCATGTGATTGCAATGACCAATCAGAACACTTAATACCAGTCGCGCTTCTCTTATAAATCTAATAAATATAGGACTCTACATAATAGTAATATAACCTAAAGGTATGAAACAGAGTTGCGGGAAAATTCCTTCCACTTCTTCTATTTCTTCTGACTCCTGCGGCGTAAATATTTCTTCTGACTCCTGCGAAGTAAATATTTCTTCTGACTCCTGTGGCGTAAATATTTCTTCTGATTCCTGGGGCGTAGATATTTCTTCTGATTCCTGTGGCGTAAATATCTCTTCTGACTCCTGCGGCGTAAATCCCAGTGCGGCGTATTCGCCGGAGTTGCCCTATAATTGTATTAAAAATTGTAAATTTTTTTAGTATTTTTAAAATTTGTAATTGTTTTAGGAAATTTGCACCGTAGGATGAGGTATCTGCCATGTAAATATTTCTTCTGACCCCTGCGGCTTAAATATTTCTTCTGATTCCTGCGGCGTAAATCCTAGCGTGGTGTATTCCCCGAAGTTATCCTATAATTGTATTAAAATTTGTAAATTATTTTAATATTTTTAAAATTTCTAATTGGTATAGGAAATTTGCACCGTAGGATAAGGTATCTGCAATTAAAAAAATTCTGCGATGTGCATGTTTTCTACATTCAACTTACCTCTTTGTTTTCTTCTTCGTATTCTGTGGCCATTATTTTTGTACATTCCAGTTCATCGATCTTCACTTTTGGAAGAATGTAGCGCAATTGAGGTGCAGGCGGTGCAGGTGTTTCAGAGCTTGATTTACGCCGTACTTTCGGAGCATTGGGATCACACTGTAATATATAAAAATACTGTTTTAATATCTTGCAAGTTGCGTGATTGAAAATGTTATGGATCTTCTACAATAAGCCATTATTCATAAATCAGAAGTTAGAAGCTGGAAATTAGATGCATTCAATGGATGTATCCAGAAGCGCAGAGCGCTCAGTGAGCTCTTGCATTTGATTGGCATATTCGATTAGAGCTAAAAATATAGGCTAAACAGGTACAAGAGCTCACTAAGCACTCAATGAGATTCTGGATGCACCCACTGAATGCACTCTATAGCCTAGTTTACATCGAGCACTTGATACGCGTATTAAGTACCATATCCGTACTAAATCACTTGATATGCTTGGTGTAAACGCTGGCAGATTATTTTGATCTGATACTTCTGAATCATGAGTATTAGACCAAGCTGGTACGCATATCAAATGGTAACAAATGATCTCAGTGTGCTGTAAACGTTTGGTTCGTTTTGGATCATATATTAAAATTCGTCACTGCTTTTAAATTCAGGTTAAAGTTAGAATTAGAGGTTTTTTATCTTGAAAAGCAGTGAAGACAACACGTCACCTAACCTGATCCGTTCTGAGACAGATCGGTGTAAATAAGGACGTATCAAATAATTAATCCGCAACAATTTGATACGCGTACTAACCAATTTAACAGTGTAAAAAGGGTCATTGACGGCTTATTGTAGAAGGCCCAGTAAATTTAAAACCGAGACTTAAGCCGGCGGCACACGATGCTTGTTTTCTTGCTGGAGGGCTAGCTAGAATAAATTCTTACCACCGTATTGGCTATGATGCAGACACTGTCAGTACCGTAGCCAATACGATGGCAAGATTCTGATCCAGCTAGGAATCCAGCAGGAAAACGAGCATCGTGTGCCGCAAGCTTAACATTTACACTACCTGATATCTATCCATCCTACAAATTGTTAGGTTTTGAGTTTTTACTTTTTTCTCAAATGAAACCAAGGTTTATGTGCCTACATTATATTACTTTATTGCTATTTTATACAACTTACCGAAAAGACAGAAGGATACGATGTAAATTTTAATGTACGGTTGCATGCTGTAATAAAGTAGTCACTCTCAACAAAATGGTTTGAACACAAAACAGATAGTTTATTCTGTTTTAATCTTCCACGTTCACAGTTATGTTTGTCCAAATACGCATGTATTTGATCAACCCACAATTGAGATACCTTTTTGTCTCTCTGTGGAAATCTATAAGGACATGAATGATATATAAACAATAAAAAAATGTCACTTCAATTTTATTAGTACATTCAATAAAATAACTTTAATAACACTTCATATCCTACATTGTTAACATATGTGCAGGAACTGATATATTTATAATACAAAAATTCTTACCTATGAAATGAAATACCCTTTTGACTATACTGCCCACATCCAGGCACACAGCACCTCATTTTGATGCAAATTTGCAGATTTTATAGTCACGCAATTTTATAATCTTTCAAAATAATCTCTCAAACATAACCCCAATAACCTTGTTGACATCTTGTTGCGTCCTTAGAATATACATACTAGAACCGACTAGAACTTGGAAGGGCCATATCGTATCTGACAATTTAATAAAAGTGTCTCCAACATCTATTTGTCCTTGTTTGGGGATCGATTCTGTATCTTCAAGGCTGCGTTCAGAAACATCACTCGGGTGCTCCCATATATCATCTTAAAGCCCGATCTACATAAAACTGGTTCTACATTAGTCGCATCGCAATGTCGCAAGCGTGTCGCAAGTGTTATGATCCAATCAGAGTCGAGCTAGCTTGATGTTGATTGGACCGCAACACTTGCGACGCTGCGATGCGACTAATGTAGAATCAGCTTAAGACGCAGAACATGATTCGCAGGTCGCAAAACTAGGAACTAACCTGCAGCTCGATCTACATAAAGCTGGTTCTACATTAAGCTGGTTCTACATTAGTCGCATCGCAGCATTGGCTGCGTTCAGCAGACTCAACAGTTTTGCAACCGTTTTATGATTGTCTGCTGAGATAGGACCATTCTTCTAGATCTAAAAGTATGATCCAATCAGCGCGAAGGAAACTTCCAACAGTTGCAAAACAAACGTTCTGCTGAACGCAGCCATCCTATCAAGCGCATTGGAGTGAGTAAGAGCTATGGTAGGAGCATTTTGGAACATGTTGGAGCATGCGACGTGAACAAACCTAGATTAATGTAGAACAAGCTTTAAGCTGGTTCTACATTAAGCTGGTTTTACATTAGTCGCATCGTAGCATCGCAAGCGTTGCGATCCAATCAACATCGATCTAGCTTAATTCTGATTGGACCACAACGCTTGCAACACGCATACGACGCTGCGCTGAGACTAATGTAGAACCAGCTTTAGTCGCATCGCAGCGTCGCAAGCGTTGCGGCCCAATCAACATCGATCTAGCTTAATTCTGATTGGACCACAACGCTTGCGACATGCTTGCGACACTGCGATGCGACTAATGTAAAACCAGCTTAATGTAGAACCAGCTTTAGTCGCATCGCAGCGTCGCAAGCGTTGCGGCCCAATCAACATCGATCTAGCTTAATTCTGATTGGACCACAACGCTTGCGACACGCATACGACGCTGCGCTGCGACTAATGTAGAACCTAGAACCAGCTTGACGCGCTCAGTGGAAACGTACCATTCTTCGTGAACGCAACCAACCCATGACGTACCGCTGGCGTCTGATTGGTCAAAATTCTCTCATCCCCTTCTCATCATGCTCAATGCTTTAATTCCACCATTCCAATTTCCAGTATTCCACCATGATTGACGACCGATAACGACGAAGCGGTTAGAAGAAGTGAATGCCGTCAGTAGCACAGAGACGCAAATGTGGTTCCTACTGGGGAAGATTCCATGTTTTAATCTTAGAGTGTGAGAATACTGGTCGTACTACCCGATTGATTCATTATTGATAAATAATTCGAGCAACATGGAAGTGATCGAGGAGAGCGATCATAACGTTCTTCTTGAGATTGCGAACGACGAGGAGCTGACACAAATCCCAAGAGAGTTAGTGAGAAAGATCAATGTACATTTTAATAATAGATTTGAGGAATTCATTACCGCCAAGGCGGTTTTTGAGACGAACCGAAAATGCTTGGGTAAGTTGAACGCCGGTTTGAAGGTCACATTTTCGAATTTTTCGAGGACAAATGTTTTTATTTGTCTATTCCAGAAACTTTGATTTTTTATTTGTCATTTTTTTAAATTTAAGCTTTTTTTCTATTAACGCTTTCATTATTTGTTGAAAATATTCTACACTTCGGTCAGTAAGTCGTTTGACATCGTCGATTACAAATCTGAGACCCATCTGTGTGTGTATTATGGCTTACTCTTTATTTAATATAACTTTGTTAATTGCGTTTTCCTCTCTGCGTCTAACTGACATCTTTAAGACATTTTAAGATTGGAGAATTGTAAAAAAAGAGTGAGATGAGATCTCCGTCGATTTTAAAGATGGACCACATGTCATTGATACAACTGAATTCTGTACTGGACGTTATAATTTAGCTAAATCTTCCGAGAATTTTATAATTTTGTTTATTTTGCATTGAAAATGACCCGATCGGGGTCGAAACGTTCGTTTGCATGTATACATGTATGTAAGAAATTTTATTAAATATTCTTTGTTATAATTGGCTCATAGCCCATTCTTTTTACTACTGATTTATTCTGATTGAGCCATATAGACAATTTATTTTATTCTACACTTGTTTAATTTTAAATGTCGAAAGTAAATAACCTCTGGCAATACTAAATTTTATCTAAAAGAAAGACTTGTGTGATTAAATGAATGACAAGAACTTTATGTAACATCTTGATTTACAGAACAAAATTTGGAGAAGGCGCAGAAAGAACTTGCAGAACAGAAGTTGGATCTTGAAGAGTATAAAGGAAAGTTAGAGCTCACGGAAAAGAGCAATACAGAAATTTGTACCAATCTTGAGGAAGTGAAAATAGAAGTACATCGATTACAGGAATCTGTCAAACGGTAATGTTATGTACAATTCTAATATTTTATTGTTTATTGAAAAAATAATTTGTAATATTTTAATAATGAACAGTATGAAATTATACAAAATAAAATAATATTTTTTAAAATGTAGTGTTATTGATATTTAACAGTTTGTAATTATATTTTTTGTAATGTGAATTGTAGATTGGAAAAGGAAAATAGTGAATTCCGTAGACAAAGAGATATAGCCACAGATGAGGCAAGTGCGTTGCAGCTGCAAGTAGAAAGGCGGGATACTGAGATCGAAAGAATGCGTACTGAATTATCATCTTTAAGCAATCAGCTTCAAACTGCCATTGCAGCTAAATGTCAAACTCTGGCTGAGACAGAGGAAATCCGTAGTCGAGAAATGACCTTGAACTTCAAGTAAGTTAAGAAGAAAAATAAAAACTTCTTTCTCTTATATTAAGCCTTTGGCCTGTGTTACACCTTTCTCATATACTTGTGGTACGCGCGTTAATTATTCAATTTCTACAAGCATATGAGACCTACAGTTTTACTGCTGGTTCCGAACGGCAGATTTTTGGAAAAGTATTTCTGTAGGCAAAGATACTTTCGAGAGGCTGCCAACTTTTTCCGAGAGGAGACATGAGTGTAAATATTTTAGTTCCTACCAGGATCGAATCTGCGACCTCTGGCATGATAGACCAGTGCGCGGTCTGCCATGCCATGTTCGGGCTCGACTGATGAATAGTTGATAATAAGAATCTTTATTGAACCATACATGTGGAAATACAACCAACAGAAAATGGGAAATAAAGGCCCATAAAGATCAAAGCTGGATCTTTAATGCTTAAATAATTCATTGTGAATTTGTATATATTGTATATGTACATGCATATTTACCATGTTTGTAATCCTAGGCCTTTATTTCCTAATTCCTAAATACTTGATTAAAACTTGTTTTTTTTAATACATTAATAAATATATAAAGTATATATATAATTACATTATGTTATTAGAGTTCTTATATGATTAGAGTACTTAGAGTTGTTAGAGTTCTTGTATTATTAGAGTAGGGGAACATGGAATTCCTTTGACCGGTTGTACCTTTAACCATTTGAATTTATAAAATATTATTGGATATTTTTAAAAGTAAAAATATTGTTTGTAGTACGAGTACCAGAGGCGTTTTATAACTTATAATTATAACAATGAATAGAATTATACTTCTGTGAAAAATCATTTGTTGTTTTCAAGCGTTCGAATGAAGTAATTTCAAGAGGTTTTTTATCTCATAAAATGTATATGTATTCTGTCTTATGTTGGAATTGCCTAAAATGTTAAATAGATGTACAGAAAAAATTATTTAAAACTTAATACTGTCAATCTTAACATATAATTTATAAAAGTAATAACAAATAGAAAGTGAGCAAGCGTTGTATCTTTAACCAGCAACTGATATTTTCCTTTGACCAAAATTCAATTTTTTTTATTGTAAAAAAAGATGTACAAAACATAATAATTTAAATCTATAAAAAATATATGTTACTGTCAACACTTCAAAGAATATTTTAGAATTTTTTTGAATTTTTAGACATCAAAATACAACTTACACAAGAAAAAATGTCAAAATTGGTCAAAAGTCACACCACTTTCCCCTACTTAGAATTATAACATTTTTAATTTTATATGTTTTGTAACAAAATGAATATAATTAATTTTAATAATACATTCTTAATACATAATATACATACATATATATACAGGGTGTTAGTTAAGTATGTTGCCATACTCAACAGAGCGATTTTTTGGTTTATTTCAAGTAAAAAAAGTCCATATAAACATGGGTCCTAAACGGCTTAGTTT